CCGAATAAAAATTAAAACAATAGAACAATTGGTTCTTAAATTAAATAAATATTTACTTATAAAATTTTAGTTAAAAAAAAAAAAAAAAATGTTTAAGGGAAATAATTTTCTAATACCTGTGATATATACTTATGCACTGTAGTCAGAATAAAAAAAAATCAAGTCTGTAAAATTAGATTATTTAATAGATCGTATACCCATATCTGCAATGACTTAAAAATGCATGCCATTACGCCAAGTCTAACATTATGTATTAAACAATAATGAATAACTGTTACAAAAAAATATTTAACTATTTAAATATAACCATTTGTAGATCATCTCAATTGTGAACGTCAAATTAAAAAATATTTTTCATTAACACAATTTGAATATATGAAGTTCAACTATCTACCTATCAGTACTTAATATAGACGTGCACACGGTAGAAGGGGACAGCTGCCTCTCCTGCGAGCTAAAATCGCGTTAATGAATTCTATTATCAATTATTATATTTCAATTTGTAATTAAATTAACTATGTATAAATTTAAAATACTTCCATCACTAATATTAATTAAACTAACTAATAACCAAAATAATATTCAATTGTATTACATGTAATAATATATTTATATATGTATATAAATATCCCCTGCCAGCAAGATCTACGCATGCCTATGGACTATTGTACCTATATATTTATTTTTGTAGAAAGATTATAGTATATTTTACTTAATGTATAGGATGTTATAAATGTACAAACATATACCTACAGTATATTATTGTTATAAATATCTATCAAATTTAAAGTTAAATGAATATAATTATTGATAAATTAGAGTAGGTAACGATGTATAAATTATAATAGGCAACAATAGAATTTAATAATTATTAATTTCTTAGCTTTGACTAAACAGGTAAACGAGTGTAAGTGAAAAGAAACTTGCAACAGCCAGTAAGTTAAAAGTATCCAAGTCAGTGGACAACTGTGTAGATATTATAATATATTATTTAGCTATAGGCATTTGTCAACCGAAGAGCGAAGACAATTAAAAATAAACTAACAAAACAACTCGACAATCACGCGCGCGTGCTTAACAGACAACTGTGTTTCGTAAGACTTCAATTAGATTTTTATTATGTTTATCATAAGGACTTACCCCGCTTCCGAAGTTCCGAGTAATAAGTACCAATAGTACCATCATTATGCGGCTCGTAAAATACTTGGCTGCAACTTGTACGCGCTTACAGCTCACATTATATCTTGCTACGCGCCGCAATCATGGAACAAATAATGACGATCGTTCACATGTTCAACTAAACATATAGTCGCGACAACCAAATCATTGAAAGCAATATAGGTAATGGGTAAATGCCCTAATAATCAAATACCTGATACCTCTAAAGTATAGAAAGCCAGTAACGCTTGAACTATATCTATCTCTTTAGTCTTTTATTGGATTTATTTACAATATTTACATAGGTACCTAAAGCTAGTTCATGTACTAATAAAATAACAATTTGTTCCATAAAATATGCTTATATTATGAATTATAATTATGAATATTTAGGTATTTAAAATACAATTTTTAGAATCCTGTAAGTGCCTAGTAGGTGTATCAATATTATAGATAAAAAAGATACCTAAGCAAGTGGGTACCGTTCTGCTGTACATTTATTATCGTTCAGGATATTATTAAAGTAACGTTAAATTTGAATTCTATAATATATCATTGTGTACGATAAACTAAGAAGAAGGGGAACTAAAGAAACTAATTCTAAGAGAAAATAGTCAATTAACTTATAAAGTTATAAGTTATATCACCAAGTACCTACGTATCATAATATGTTCTTTTTTTTGAAATAATTATTGAAGTTATTTATCTAACTTTTAGTATTACAATAAGTTGATATTTTTTTTTTTTGAAAATAATAAATTTGTTGTATTATTAGTAGGTAGGTATCTATTTAATTTTAAAATAATATAAATTTATACTATATTATTTCAAATTATATAACCCAAGATTTAATCACATCTTTTTGTAAAATGTAAACATCCTAAATCAGTAAAAATAGATTCATATTATAAATAAATAATATCTTAAAATAAATTAAAAATGTAATTATGTGTAATAAAATTTAGAATAATATAACCTAGTATTCTTGGTTGGCGAAAATACCCAGATACTAATATAGTAAATTTAATTTTTTTTTCAAAAAGATTGAATTCTAGTTTTTTTTTTTTGTATATGTTATTGAATTTATTGCAATAATGTTAGGTATTTGAATTCATTCATTTCTAATCGGTTTACGCACTGCTTTCGTTAATTATACCCCTAGGATTCAAACACAAGTCATAACGGAATTCATTCGCTTTTTAAACCTTAGGTACTTACCTATTAACTAATAGCTTATCATATTATTCGACTTCCCCAGTTCCACCGCACCCTTATTGATTCAAAACGTTCGAATATTTGAATATATTATAAATACCTACTAAATTCTTCCTGACGATTATTTCTCAAAATAAAAAGTATTTTTGTCACTTAATTCAAGATCATAACCCTTATTTAATTTAGTATTCTATAAGTTAGTTAGGTTAAATCAAAGCTACATACTTAAGTTAATTAATTATTGAACACAAGGTATTTTTTTATTTTGATAGGCTCGTTATTACGCTTTAGTGGCGACCACAGCATGAAAAGACAATTGCACTTGTGTTAATTTATATGCGTGAATTATCAATAAACAGAAAACTGTATACCACAATTTCAAATTTTGCATGACACCATTCATTGATAGATACATGATGATGATTGTACGAAACCACAGATTTATGGTTGTAATAATAGTTAGGTAGAATTTACCAAGTAGATACTCTCAAAGAATAGACCATCAAAATTTAAATAATATAATAAATGGAATTCATAGAAATCTAATGTTTAAGCAACTAAATAAAACTATTACATGTTAATTTTGAAGCAAATTATGTTTTAAATAGAGATAATGAAAAAAAGTACCAATATAGTATAACGATAAACATGTTACTGATGCGTCATTTATGCCGTACTTTGCGATGCTTAGGTCAGAACACAGGAACGTAGAATACGAGAATATATAAATCATTAATATAGCTAATTAGTCGAGTTTTGTTTGTGAAATTGAGACAACAGTCATCTCTATATTTTTAAGTAACATTTTTTAATTTGATTTACTATAGGTATAATAACCTACCTTATATATCATATAATCATAATATATTCAATCGCTTCAACTCGTACTCCGCTACACCAGTGATCTTCAAAATACTACCCTCAAAAACAGGGTTACTTAGGTGATAGTGTACTGTATAATTATAATAATATTTAGTCACATGAATAAACTTTGTAAACGTTGCTATAATATCATTTCTATTGTGTTAATTCAATTAATTAATATTTTACAATACTATTATCATTACTTGAATAAAAAAATTACCTACTTATTTATATTAAACTTAGGTAGTGAGTTAAGTGTTCTATATTTTTTATTAAACCAACATACAAAAAATTTCTTTTTTTTAAAAAAAGGGGGTTTTACTTTTTTGAAAATAGAATAAAATACTTATACCAGTTATACTCGCAACAGTAATATATAATTATGCTCTTTAAATAACTTCCAGCCTCACCCTCCACAAAAAATTGTTCCTGCAAAAGTATACAACCTCAGTTGAGAATGTATATTATTTAATGTGCACAAACAATATAATAGTCAATATAAAATGTAATATTTAATGCTTTGTTATATATATATAAATTCAATTTTCACGTTTTGTAATACTTACTAAGAAAAATACTCTACTTAGGAATATGAAATTAAAAATTTAAGTTAATTAAAAAAAGGAAACTTAAAAAATTATCATGTTAAAATATTGTAAGAAACATAACTTTATCTAATATTTTTTTTATAAATTTCATCAATAAATTTTATAAAAAAAAAATCTTTTCAAAAAAAAAATTTAGAACTTTAAGAAATACTCAAACATCACATAAAACTTAAATTTATCACTCTGGTATATTTATTTGTGAATCATTTAACACAATAATATGTAACAAGTAAAACTGTCAACAAATTTATAAATCTTCAGCTTCAGCTTTTTATAGTAAAACAGTATATTTTTGTTGAATAATCATTAAATACAATTCAACAAATCAATAAATCTAATTTTAATATTTCAAGTACAAAATCTCTGTTAATACAGTGAATATTAATTATATTTTAAGATGCAAATTTTATATATGTTTTTATATACCTATTGGCCACCACTAAAATTTTTTGGATTGTGTTTTTATAATTGGATTAAGTTCTACAATTTAAGATTAAAATTTCAATATGTATGTTTAAACCATAATAATCTTTTAAAATATTAATAAATAAAATATCAATAGTTTATTTAAGTCTTAATTGAATTTATAATTGCTACACAACACTAGAAGAAAAAAAAAGAAACATATATTTATGAAAAAATTTGGAATATAAATAAGATATATTAAAACAATTACAGAAATTTTAATTCTAAAATTAATATAATAGTTTTTTTTTTTTATTTTACAATTTATTGCAATATTTGTCTTTAATTAACTTTTTCAATTCAGTTTATATTTTATAGATGAGATAAAATTATGTCTTACAAATAATATTACAACACAATGTGTGAGCATTACACAAATTGATGTATAAATTGTAAGCAAATAAATTAATACTTACTGCTTTCATGAGGTATGGAAAAAAATTAAATTTTAGTTTTTAAAATTATACATGCAATACACACGAAAATAACTAGCAAATAAATTTCATATACTAAAAATAAAAACCAACAAAGATGAACCAAAATAAATAATCAATAAACATTGATTCTTTTGTAGATTTACCTATTCAGTTTCATACTTTATAATATATATGTATATAAATACTATTAGATAGAATCATATTGTTATTAGTAGTTATTAAATTAAAAGAATTTACAATATTAAATCAAATATGTAGTTGAATATCACTTGTTTAATAAATTGATATTACAATTGTTGAATATTATGCAGTGATTATTTATTAGTCATATCAAATCATCAGTAGATAACATTAGTATTACACACTAATATCCTCTTGGACCAGCTGGAGGACCTAAATAAAAATAATTAAATATTGACAAAATATTAATTAGTTAAATAGTTTTAATATATGCTACTACTTACCTCTCATCATAGGTGGAGGACCACGCATATTGTTGGCTGGCATTGGTGGTGGTCCACCTCGACCCATACCAGGCATTGGTGGCATACCAGCTAAAACATGATTAAAATATTAAAAAATATAATGATGTAAGTAATATAAGTTTAAAAATAATCTATATGATATGCATACCCATTATGCCTGGTGGAGGAGCCATCATTGGTGGACCTCTAATTGGTGGTTGAGCTGGCGCACCTCTAGTGGGTGCCATTGCAGCTGGTGAAGGACCACCAACACCTCTTACTGGTCCTTGTAAGCCTATTGGTATGAATAGAATAAAAAACTTAGAATTTTAAAATAAAAATCATATACATAAATAACCTGTTAAATTTCTTAACTAATTGAATTAATTATTTAAAAGAAAAACCTAACTTAAAAATATTTATTTTTGTTGTCTAACCATCATACAGTTTAGTGAATCAATCATTATAACGTGCATCGTTATCAGTGACAGCCCTACCATAAAATAAATAATTGTTTACTGATTAGTCAATGGGGGCTGAAACCTTTGGAAGTACAGAGAACACACAAGTTTCGACTGGTTTTCGTCTACTACCTGGTGTATTCTCATTTGAAAAAATAGTATAGATTCCTAGGGTCTAATTAAAAATACTACTTTCTGTTTGATCAAAATAATTATGTTAAAATTTCTTTTTAGTTAAATAAAAACCAACCTGCAGGTTTTAAAAAAAATCTATTTTTTCTAAATTTAATAAATAAATATATAATTCTATAATATTACCAGGTGTAGCTGCTGATGGTATGACAGAAGGCATTCCTCGCCCAGCAGCACGGCTAGATCCTGGACCACCCCCACCTGGCAGTGGCACTCTAGGAAGACCTTCTTCGGGTGGAGGTGGTCCTTCAATAGTTATAGATACTATATTTTGTCCACGTAATAAAACAAAACCAAGTACACGCTTTTCTTCCCTTGGTTCTGCAGGTATTGTAGGTACTTTGGCTTTACTTTTCAATCTACGAAATTCTTCACAGTCAGCCAAAATCAAGTTCATATGTTTGTCAAAGGCTGTGAAACACAAAAGTGTTAGTTAAACGATCAAATGACAAAAGTTAAAAATATAAATTGAATAAAATACCTTTAAACGTGCCAATGAACATTCTGGAATCTTGTAATATAACGCGCACTCTATAGTTGATGTGCTGCATCATCTTGTTATTCTTTGTGACAGGCTGTAAGCAATAAAAATTTAATTTCATGATAAGACACACAATGTAAAGTAAGCCCATCAATAATATATACGATCAAAATATTATCAAATATAATACATTTGTGGGTAACTAGTATAGAGAAATTGGTTAGTAACATTACTAATTTGGTGAACTATGTTAAGCGAATAAGGGCAATAAGTTGAATCTACATGTAAAATAATTGAATCATAATAAATTAAAAATTGATGACTAAAAACTTTCCAATTAATTGAATTTTTTATTACCATTAAAAGTGCTTATAAATTGTATTTTAAATAAAACTCAAAATATTTTAAAGTCAAATATATATTTATTTTCTTTAAAATTTGAGTTACTGAGACTCAACTATATTCAATTAAGTTAATAATTAACGTAAGAATTTTGAAGGGAATTTCTAAAACAAGTAGTAATAGATATAAATTGATAAAATATTACATGGTTAAATAATCAATTAAACATTGTATGAAATACTGTAGAAGTAAAATATATCGCAACATTTAGGATTTCGCAAACATAAATCGTATTACGGAATACATAAAAAGACGTCGGAAACATAATTGTTATATAATTAAAATACTCACCATTTTTGGGGCTAAAGTGTCGCACTATAGGATTACAGGACTGAACGTAAAGCGGATTTTGGAATTAGTTTATACGTTAAAAACGTACGGTTTTTGGATAAATATTGAGTACAACAGTCCGGTACTTGAAAGTTTACATAACCAGTAAACAAACGATGAAACACCGTAGACGGCACTCACAGGATGAACTGAGACGCGTATGTTGTTCGCCGCATACCGAGTTTCGGAAACGGATCGACACTCGACAGGGGTGCCAATAACAACCAATGACAAATCCATAAGAAAATATTGTGGAAATGTTTTGATACCATTATTCAAATAATATAAATATTATTAATATTATAATTATGACCTTTGCCTATTGGCTATAACTTAGAGTTGTTAGTTAGACTTCTTTACTTTTATTTTACATACTAAATTTTCTATATAGAATACTTTTTATTATTGTGTACCCACTACCTAGTTACCTAGTATCCAATTAATAAAATGTAAAAATGATTATTTTATTTTTAGTATACATTGATAAAGAAAGATGAGTATTTTAAATTACCAAAATAAATTGTAGTTCTTAAATATTTGAGGAAAAAAGGTGTCGTTTATGGTACGCAGTATAAGCCCATTTTAGGTATATAAAGGAAAGTTAAATTTTTTAAAAACACATAAAGAAACCTTCAGTTTCTCTCTTAGGAAAAATATTAAAAATTAGTACATCTAATGGTAATTGATTGTCATAAACATACTATCTACTGGATTTTGAAGTTTATAAATTTTTATCAACAAGTAACTTCTGTTTAGGCTTTGGTTTATTGTATTATGTTAAATAATAAACAGTAAAGCTTTGATAATTCGGACGAATTCATACAGAGCATCGTCCGGATTTACCGGATGGTTTTCAAAATTACCTACTCAAATGACAAAGATTTTTATTTTTAATTCTACCACCTTTATATTTATTGCACTTTAAATTACAAAAATAATTAATAGCTTAAACATAACGAATTACAAAAAGAAAAGTTTAAAATAATAGAACTTAAATATAGTAATCAGTGATTTTTTTCTGAATAATACTTTTAATTTCGAACTACAAATGTATTTGCGAACAAATGGACTTGGACCGTCCAGAAGTTCGGATTACCGTATTCACCACATTATCGTTAATTCGGACTGGCTCTATTGTAGGAGTGCTGGGGGGCAAACTTAACATGGGTTAATTGTAACACGCTGAATATTTTCTTCTATGATATACAATAATTATTATCGGTTGTATGTGCATCATTTTTCCCCCATTATTTGTCATCTTATCCTGTCATCAGTTTAGCTTTATCGTATATTGTTAATCAAATAATCAGTATAAATCTATTATTAAATTAAAAAGTGCATTTTTTTTTTACGCTGTAATATGTACTCTATTTAATTTATTATTTTCTAATAAAACCTCTAGATATTACGATTATATAATAATAAATTAACTTCTTAAGTAAGTTCATAATTTGTTTTTGCATTAATTAAAAAAAACTGTATGGGGTCAATGGTAACAAATAGACTAGAGTTAATTGTACCTAATATTATCCATAAAAATCGATTATATTGTTTTTAATATAAACTTTTTTATTAATATTTTGTATTAATTATCAAACTTGATTTAGTTTACAAAATGCGACGAAAACGAAAAAACACTTTTAATTAAATATTAATAATACATTAATAACTATACATTACCTACTTATCATATTATATTTTAATTACAATTTTTTTAATAGTGAATAATAATTATTATATAGTTAATATAATGTTACGTTATTATGTAGTTAATAATTATATATCATGATTCATGATAATTTGAGTCTAGTCTACTTTGGTTACATCTACCTATATGTCATATGGTTATCAGGTTTGATTTTTAATTTAATAAAACATATATGATTATATTAATATCGTTGAAAAACGGAATTAAGATATGTGTAACATTTAACCCCACAGTCTAGGACGATTGTAACATTTTTTTTTTTTTTTTAATTAAAAATATTTATTTTTAAGATTGATATATAAGCAGCTATTGTAATATAATTGAATAGCTATCATGTTCCTTTATCAAATGATAACATTGAAAATCAAAAATTTCTTAAAAATAAAAAAAAAGTGTAAAATGTTACATTTGCTCTCAGTCTTTCCTACATGTTATCGATTGAACTATAACAAATTATTATTTTTTGATGATTAGTTATTGATGTCAAAAGAATCAATATAAACTAAATTATAATTTCAAATGTGTATACATTAAAATTTTAAAGTTAAGAAAAATACAATAGTAATTTAAGCAACTAAAGTATTTTAAATTTTTAAATCAAAGCTATTGTTAACAAATCAAAAGTTATAATCAATTAAGTAACTGTTTATTTTATGTAGTTATATAGCTATATGATTCATAGATGTTATTTCATTTTATTTCTATGATAATACTTTATGAATGTAGTATCTATTATATATTTTACACTTAGGAATAGAATCTCGGTCCACTAATAATTCGAATAAATTATTGAATGTCCCATGATAAGGAAGTAAATAATTCGTGAACTCTAGTTGAGGTTTGCATATAGTTTGTTTAAAGTTTCAATAGTTTTGAACTTTATGGCTCCCTCGAGGGTTACAATAATTCACTCAAATAATATTTTATTTCAGTAAGTTTCCGAAATAGCAAAGTGTTAACAAGTGGCATAAATCGAATTACTAGGACTCTTACACTCCAAAATGAATAATGTAAACGTAATATACTCAATTGATGTATTTTCTTATTCTCGAGTCAAGAATATTGCTCAACTAGATAAGTGGGAGGGGTGCCCCTCTCCCTCAAGACAGTCTTGTTCTTGATTATAACTTCCACTGTTCCACTACAAATATCTTTAATCAGATAATTTTAAGTAATAATTAATTTTACTAAGTATTATTAGAGTATTATTATTTTGTGTAATAGAGACATGTATAATAATTATGCACGTCCCCATGTTTAGTTATGTCCGTTGTCTGAACTAATTGGGACTCGGATGCTTTTTAATAATCAAACATGTTTTCAAACTTATTTTTTTATTAAGTTATACATTTGCGTGAAAATAACTATTAAAAGATATATAAAAGATCAAAAGATCTTATAGTTTACCAAGTTTAGTAAAAATCACGTCTTCTAATGAAATTATTTTACATATTATGTAAGAAAATAACATTATACACAAGAGATTATCATAAACTTATAATAACTGGCAAATGACGCATATATATATATTTTTAATTTAAGATACTTGATCATGTGGGCAAAGGTAACGCCGCAACAATTACATCTAAAAAAGAAGTACCCGGATCATATTGTGGTGAAATTGAACAACCACAAACATTCTTGTCGGAAACGAGTTCAGTTCGAGTTATTTTTCAAACAAATAACTTTACAGATCAAACTTATTACAGTTTCGATTCAAGAGCTGAACAAGAAACTCAAGTGTATTTACGATATGGACAGCATCCGGAACTTTATCCAAATAGAAGAGGCTTGCTGAACCCTGGGTTAGAATAATATCAATTAAATATTTTAGATATTTTATATTTATTTTATTGCAATTAGTGTTTATGCTATAATTAAATAAATTTGATACTAAAAAATGTAGGCAAGTGAGTAGTACTCTATTGTTCTATACATTAGATATCAAGTGTGAAGTGGGTCACTGTAATGGATATGTTAAATTTTGATTTAATGATAGGTATATAAATTTATCATTGTATGCGAAAAATGGTTCTCAACGGAAACCGTTTATCAACTTATAGCTATCACTATGAGTATATTTCATGTTTTTTGATATAGCTATAACTATCATTTATTTTAACTAAAACATCTAAATATTATCGCGTTAGGTTGATTACATTTTTTTCCAAAAACAATGTATTTATTATATTTATAGTATTTTATAATTTTAAAAATATTTATTTCTATCATATCAGATCATTTTTATTAACTTTTAAGATAATAACAGCTTTACTGCAAATACCATGAAAGTGTGAATACGTTTATAGTATAAAATATAAAAAATAATATCTTTAAATTAATGTAGTTATTTTGAAAATATAATTATGTATACTAATATTTATAATAATACACATAAAAGTTTAAGTCTCTACGAATAATGTTTTTAAATTTTAACATTGTTGTTCATCGTTTAAATATTTAATTTCGTCAAATTTGAACTTCAAATGCCAATAAAAAATATTGTATGTTTATATATTTTTTATATACGAATAAGTAGAAAAACGTTTGAGAAATTTTGTACTACATTTTTTAATTCTAATTTATAAAAAAAATTTTTATAAAAATGTCTAGTTACAAAATAATTTGTAAATTTTAAACGCTTGTAAAAAAATATTGGGACTATATATTTTCGAAATTTTTGGTTTATCAAATTAATGACTTATAAGAAATAACTTTATATACAATTTTCAAGTATTTTTACCTAGCAAACTGTTTTTTATCAAAATTTAAAGAAATCAAAAACTTCTCAAACTTTTTTATAATTTACTCAAAAAGAGTCAAAAAAATTTAAAATTATACCATGTATGGGAAACACATAGGTACCTACCTGAGTGTATCATATTATAAAATTTCTTTGCATGATATGTTAACCTGTAAGTAACTACTTATACGAGTATATTATAAGCTATAACATATTATCTCTATTAATGCTTAAATTGTTTTATAAAAATTATACCATATATTATTTTAAAATTCAATATTTTAATCTTCATAAGTTATAGATAAAATGTAAGAGAATTCATTCAACTCTCAACAATTTGAGGTTTTTTGAAAAACTTTAAGATTTTGATTTACTAATTAGTTTAAAATAAGATAAGACACGTAAATTAATTAAGAAATATGTTAGTTAGGTTGTTAGGTATAATAATAATTTGATTGTAAGTATTTAAAAAAAAACAAGCAAAGTTTTAATAGTTTATTATTATCTATTAATGAGAAAAACATACACTTTATAAATAATCAATCACAGTGAAACAACTTAGAATCACCGAGAGTTGAATGATAACAACTTCGAATTGTTTCCTGTTACTTGTTTACCTGGTTCGCTCTAAATTTTACGTCGAATTACTGAGTGTACTTAAATGCATTGATTTTCTTCAAATTACCACAATATTTTCAAGAAACGGAGTCTTTACTTTAAATTACCACCAGAATTTCGAACTAAAAAAAGGTTTAAAATATCTATTATAGTATGTAATGGTTATAAACAGTATAATATATTTTTAGTATAAAATAAAATGTATACTTTTAACAATTCCAATTTCTGACCCACAAAAATGATTAGTATATTAAATAGCTACCTAAGTATTGCATAATAATTATCATTTCTTATTTAAATTGATTAAAGGAGCTATTGTGATAGAACATTTAAGGAATGTCGACTGCAAACATGTTATGTTCAAAGTCCAGCGTATCCAGGAGTGTATCCAAGAAATCTCAAGTGCAATTATTGGCTGAACACTAAAAATCCGTTTATCCGTCTATACATACAAAACGAAGAATTTAATGTAGACGGTCAGCGTTGTGAAAATATAATCACATGTCCTATGAGACCGATCACGTCAGGTAACCATATAATAATATGGTTTTTATCATACATATGTATATATTTTAATATTGTTTATGATACAATATTTTTTTGGAAAAAAATGAAGGTATTAGAAGTTATTGTACTGTACTCCCAGAAAAACGATTCTGAACGAGTTTGAATTTTATCAAAATGACTTAACATTTCTTAACAGTAATAATTCACTCTATTTCGTGATTTTATGAAAAATATTAGAAAAATTTAAAAATTAAATTTATGTAGAACTTACTTGTTTTGTTAAATTTTACAATTTTGATCCAATCATTTTTTTCTAGAAAATAATTAGTAAAAAATATCATAAAAAATACCACATTTATTTTTATAGGTATTTTAGAACATTAGAAATTAAAAAAATAAATATATTAATAATATATAATAAATCGTACCTGTAAATTATTACAGTCAATATTTATTTTCATTAGCATTAACCTTTATCATTATAACTTGTATACAAAATGTTGAGGATCATTTATAATGTTGTACTACTTTACATATTAATGGAGTTAATTCAGTTAGTTTAAATGCATAGTTAATCTGTCTAAATATAAAAAATTGGAATAATTTAATGTACATCCATCCATAAATTTTCTAATTTAAAATTAAACCAAATAATAAAAAAAATATATACATTTTAAAAGTATAAAATATGGAATGATCATAATTCATAGATATTTCACTGTAACATTAATTATATCGGTATATACTATATATGTATTTGAAATAATTGTTTCATTTAAAAAACAAAAATTGAGTTTATTTTTCGTTTAATAACGTATAGATTTTATGAAATCTAATTGAATATTCAACCCGCAGTGAAAATAAAATAAATAATATAGTTGAATGTGAGTATTTTTTGCGGTATATTGTGGAATATATTATTGAATACTGACAGTATTTTAAAAAATTGTATATTAATGACAATACTTTATTATTTTTAATTTTCAATGAATAAACATTTATTAACTGTATGGTCGAAATGATAGTATTAATTATCAAACAATTAAAATATGTTAAAGGAGCTGAATATTGCCCATATGATTATATAAAAATCTATGATGGTAAAAACGCATCTAGCCCAGAGATTGGAACCTTTTGTGGAATGGGAAAATTTCCCCATTCAATTGTTGGTACAAGTGAAGATTTATTTGTGGAGTTTGTCACATCAACTGCAGGTACAGTCTTATTTATGTTCTTAAATTACAATTAAAACGGTTAAATTAATATTTTTTTTTTTTTTATACGATAAATAAATATATTATGTTGGTAATATGGTATACTTATTACATCAGCCCAGTATTCATATGGCCATACTTATAATCAAGTATACAAATCCAAAATAAGATTCTAATTTCTTAGTTTACTATCCATTAGAAAATTTAAACACTACCTAGTGTTGTACTATAATTTTTTTAAAACTCAAACACTATTAATTTTAAATGCTTAAAGCATACTATGTAATAAGAAATAATAAAAGAAAATTATTTTATTATTTTTTTTTTATGAAACCTGCAATCTTAGATTTTGATAATCAAAATTAAACATATAAACTATAATAATTAATATAGGTACGTATTTATTTTTATAGATACTTACCCACTTATAATTATCATAAATTTTTTTTTTTTTTATTAATCGAATTAATAATTTTATGTTTTATACTCGTAATAATAATATAAATATAAATAAACTTACTCCTGATTATTAATTTTTTTAATTATTTCAATTATTTCAATTTAGGCCCGCTTTTAAATACCGGCTTTCATTTTAACGTTGGTAATATGCCTGGTCACATGCAGACTGCTGGTGAAAAAAACGGTTCTTGCGATTGGATATTATCGAGCGAACATTTGAACAGAGATCACCATACCGAAGGAATATTCATGTCGATTGCTCACTGGTATCCCCCGCACACGTCTTGCACTTATCATTTACTAGGACTGCCAAATCAAGTAGTTCGAGTTTATTTTCCTAGGTATATAGACTCGCTCTAAACGTAATACATAAAATAATTTTTTGAGTGATAACTTATTATCTATTATATTATTATTGTTGAAACCGATGTTTACCCGGCTGTATACATACCTAATATCATTGTTTTAAATAGTAATTAATACTACAGAAATGATCTTAAAATATAAACTTAACAACATTATAGCTTTCGAGTAAATAGTATAGAGAGTCCTGTGAGGAGTGATTGGACTGGTGATTGCGGGGAAAGCTTAACGCTCTACGATGCCGCGGAACCAGATGATACAAAAATCATAAAAACATTTTGTGATACATTTTCTAAGCCAGCTGAAAAACACGATTTCATATCGACGGGAAATTCCATGTTTATCCGATTTGAAAGCAAAACCGGCAGTTATTCGGGGTAAGAATAATGAATATTATAACCTGTAAGCATAGGTATTGTTGAATAAATACTATGATAATAACACAGATTAAATCTATGGATAATAATTATTATGTGTAGATAATCAATAGATACATAGTATATTCAAAATTATTATAAATATTTCTCGTTGAGCTTATTACACACGTTGGGTTATCTGTATATTAATTCCTAATATACCGAAAATTAACTATAGCAGTGGTGCACTGTTATGAGTATAATGACACTATAGGTATTGACAATTGTGTAACATAACGCGTAATAAGATCATATATGAACAAATTTAATTATTTTAAAACTAAACTGACTATAGTTTTTAAAAAATATAATATATTATTATTTTTTATTGAAATCTTTGTAAAAATTTATCGCAAAATACAAATTTTCATTTTATTTCTTCGTATGCTTCTCACAAACTTATACCTATAGTAATTTGGCCAGATATTTAAAAAATATACGTTTTTCGTTATATTCTTGTCTTTTTTTTCGTTTTTTTTATTTTTTGTTTTCTTGGGAATTTCTAAGATATTAATTTTGAACTGACTATACCGGTAGCATAATGTACCGATTATTTTAATGGATAGACAGACATAATAAGGATATGAAATCTTTTAAACTTATGTTTAGAAATCTAAAATAGTTATTGATTTATTATTAGGTATCTATTTATAGTAAGTAACTCTAACAATACTAATCATAGTATTTTTTTAAATAAATAAAATAATTCATAAGAGATGTAATTCATTTGTAGGTCATCGTTGTATTATTGGGCTCACTATGACTTTTTCAATGACACTAAATTCGGTACTGCTATACCAAATACAATGTGTGATGAAGAATTTGTTAGTTGGAAGCCTTCGTCGGGATATTTCAGATCACCAGTGAACACGCTAGTCTACAAACGACAAGGGACGGTTACGGATCCTGATGCAAAATCTCAACCAATAATTTGTCATTATAAATTTATAACAGACGTGCGATTATTCGCCCGTATTGTTTTGAAAATTGAGTCTATTAAATTCAAGGTACTAATTTTCATTAAATACATTTCTTTATTTCAATTGTTTATGTTTTATAATAATTGTTATCTATCTACGTCCTACATATAAGTATTATAGGTTTAACAAGTATCAAAATCGAAATGTGCTTATACTTATTTAAACGGTGATTTACCAAACATGCTTGCTTTTTTTTTTCTTCAATAATGAAGTTATTCAAAATTTAATTGTTGGTATTAAGTCTTAAATAAACCATATTTTCTAATTCTTGAGGTTTAGGATAAGTAGCAAGTTTGAAGAATTTGCAGTTACATACCTAATATATACTTAAAGTTTAGTTACAAATTAAAAAATGTAATACATATTGTAATTTTTGAATAATTATGCATATTTTGAAGATAATTCTTACATAAATACATATTTGATAAAACAATAAATAATTATTCGTACCAATATTTAAGTTTTTTTTATGCAAAATTATACACATATTTTATTGTATTGTATATTTATAGCACATAACTATTTTTTGATTCCTACAAATTAACTAAGGACAAGTACCTGCATTTAGGATTTTTGGTTTTTTGTGAAAACTCAGCGGTAGATCATGTTACAATTTTTAATATTGGAAATTTTCAATTTATTTTAGTTTTTTTTCTATAAATATCAATAATTTTTTACTGAATCAAAATATTAAAATAAGCATTGAACATTTTTTGTAAGGTTCTTCGTATAATTTGTTGATAAAATAATATCAAAATCATAAACACATTATTTTTTATAAGCATTTAGTATTAGAATTTTTACGAAATTTGTTAAAATTGGAAATATTTGCAAAAGATTATGTAGTTATAAATTTATAAAGAAATTTATTTTTATTTTTAAGATCATAAAATTTAATACAACGTTCTCTACAAGTTTTATCGACTTATATAAAAAAAAAAAGTTTAACATAAAATCATATTAGTTTTTTTACAAACATTTTTATTTTGGATATTTATTCGTAAAATAACGATTTTCCCTCAAATAATTTTTAATAATTATTAGTAATTTAAAAACGAAAAACCGTAGATACTTTGAATTGTTTGTAAATTTAATATTATATTATCATTCTATACGTGAACAATTTTTGAAAATATTCTAAACTATTATATGCAATAGAAATTTTCAATTTTTGATGATAACTATTGATAAAAATATTTTCACCTAATCAAAATATTTGAAAATTTACTACAAGGTATTAAAGCTATTAAAGGTACCTATATAAGCCGTTATTACATCAATTTAAAAATTATGGAAATTTTAATTGAAGGTCGTTGACCTCTCTAAAATACAAACTAGATCCACTTTGCCATTTGAAACTACTTTTTAAGTTGATAATCGTATAATTTTACGACTACTTATCGTGCACCAGACACCAGTACACAAAAATCACACATAATTGTAAAATCAACACATTCATCGCTCTGCTCAGATTCTAAAATTTAGAATATGTTTAATTTCCATTGCTAAGATTTGGAAATTTAATATTAAAGTTAAATTTAAATTTAAATTTCGACGAAATTAAATACTAGTTATTTTGTTTAAAATTGTATTTGTGGGTACTTGGAACTTTTAATATGTATTATTTATTTTATACTCATGGCATTTTCATATGCAATATTTTCGGTAAAAATTATTTAATCTATATAGAGTATAATTATTAATAGTAAGAATAATTTACTTTAACAGCAACATAACTGTATTTTAAAATATACTTAGTATACTTATTACTTATAAATATAGGCTAACATACGCTAAGTACGCAAATAATCATTGTTCGTAAGCCATAATTTGTATTTTTTATTGAATTATAATAAATTGTACATTGACTCACTTTTCAATGACGAGGAATACTAGACACATACTGTACTGCAAAGAAATTGCCTACTTTTTTTTTTATTTTGAAAAATGTATCAACGCTTTTTTAACTGTCAAATCTGACTAACCTCTTTACACCACACTCCACAGAATTGTGTCATATTATTTTTTGTACTATTGTGTTGGAAGAAAAATTAAGTATTAGATGGTTATTCATTTTTATCTCTCAGTTCATTGAAAAATATTATTCGTAATAATATTCAAAATACCATAGAACGCAAACAATCGACGAGTTAATGATTTACAAGATTAAAAATTATTCGATTTTCAAATATTATAGGTGCGTCAAAAATAAAAACAGAGAACAAAAATTTGTTTATTTAATTGAAAAAATATTTTATTAATATTAAAATAATACTATTATTACTATTATATTATGAAGTATTAACCGTTTTGAGTAGGTACACTAAGTACCTACGTTCATAATACATTTAATTTTTTAAGGCATGTTTACAGGACCACAATTATAGGATACCCATTGAAAAGGACAACGACTGTTGGTATAGTGAACGTGACAAATTATTGATATGGGAACCGGAGGAGATCGACGCTGGTTTTGGGCTTAACCGGACAATTATCAATCAATCGAATACGAACAACGGTCTTTGTTTGTTCAATAATGTCAACAAAACGAGAATGACGTCCGATCCGCATACTAGAGAAATAAAATTTGTCTCATCGGGAAACTCATTGAATGTCGAGTTGAATCTAAATCCACTACACGCGGCTCTGAGCTATTTCAAGTACGATGTTCCGTTATTTGAAGCCAGATACGAATTCGTACATGGTCCTTTGTGTGGTCCTTCTATCATTCAACCGGTCGACGAGGGTGAGCTCGTGTTTCCAAGGTTTGATGCCATGGGATTTGTAGAACCACCAAAAACACTTGAATGTATTTGGGAGATACGGGTTCGCGAAGACCGGGATTTATGGTTACATTTTAACCAGGTAACTATTATCCTAGGTTAGGTTAGGTACCCTTACTTATGATAATATAATATACCGACTAGTGACTACTTACCTAAAAGTCATCGTTGTTGGTCGGCAATAGGCGGCCCGCGGGCCAAATCCGGCCCACGAAGAAAAAATAATTGGACCACAAAAAATATTTATTTTTTTTAATAATGCCGGTTTTCCACACATAATATATATTTTATTTATTTTATGATATATTTAGAGATTACGATGGTTTTTATCGTTTATTGCGATTTACAATAATAGCTGCGATAACACAACAATTATTAACTAATATCTAAGTTTTTAGTTTTTACTGGCCCTCGACATTTTTTTTTTGATTTTCTGGACCTCCATAGAATTTAATTGCCGACCCCTGGTGTAAACCTTGTATTTGTGACCGGGAATTTATATAATATTATTAAAGTGACCATAATTACTCAAGTATATATATATATATATATATAATAATAATAACAATTATAGTTTTATTGCAACAATATAAAACAAAACAACATTACGTTTAAGTCAATAATGTAATATGATACCGCAGCACCCCTTAAAAGCATAAATTGTTCCGAGGGAACGAGTTCTTATCTAAAAGAATACAAAAACCTAAAAATCAATTTTATGTTCATGATAATAATAGGTATTCAATATAATATAGATACAGTGAGACCTCTATATAGTGGACATTTTTTAATTTCCCATGGCTGTCCACTATAAAGAGACGCTAAAGCCTATAGGGAATTGATTAACATAATATACATACATTAAAATTGGTATATGTTGAAATATTAATTTATTAATTATTATATATGTCGTAACCACTTAATGAATTTGATCTTTTCATGAAAAGATGACCATTTCATGAAATGGAAACGGATTTTTTACACTTCGTGAAATTCGAAAATATTTCACAATATGGTCACTTTTTCATGAAATGGTCACTCTAATTTAATATCGTGTAATTTTTTTCACAATGTGGTCGTTCACTTTGTGTATTGAAAATTGAAATACAATTTTTATTATACACGTAAATGTACAAGCTTTGATAAACATGAATGTAAGTTATTTTTATCTAAAGTTAACTGAAGTTATTATATAGGTATTACATGATATATTCATATCTATTATAGCTATATTTTATAAATATTTTTAGATAATTATTTTATTTTATAAATAAATTTTTAAAAATAATTTTAGCGTTTAAAACTTTGAATTAGGTTAAATCATTGATTTTTAAACAATTTTCAAAGTTTGTTAAAATTCAAATTTATTTCTTTCTAATCAGTGTTAATGCTTGATAGGTTGCTTGTTTTATACTATAATGCACTAAATGATAACAATAATTTGTCTTAATATCAAAATTGTATTGTACATATTTCAAATACCTCCACATTCATCAAAATTAATTTTATTTTGGTCTTTCAAAAGTAATGAATTAACTTTTAAATTTAGTTTACCATACGATACATATCTTGATAGCTCACTTAAACTATGTATTTTTCATACTATACTGTTTTTACTTATTGAACAAAAACATATCACATACATCTACTATCTAGTTAAAAATTAAAAATTGTATAGGTACAATAGGTAGGTAAATTTTATGTAATGTATTTTACTTATGTTCTGTAAATATAGTGTGACTATAATGTGATCTATCGACCTATCATTTATATAATTATTACTATACAATTTATAGTGCATAGCTTAGTTTATCAAAGCTTGTACATTTACGTGTATAACAAATATTGTATTTCAATTTTTAGTACACAAAGTGAACGACCACATTGTGAAAAAAATTACACGATGTTAAATTAGAGTGACCATTTTATTAAAAAGTGACCATATTGTGAAATATTTTCGAATTTCACGAAGTGTAAAAAATCCGTTTCCATTTCATGAAATGGTCATCTTTTCATGAAAAGATTAATTTCATCAAGTGGCTACGACATATATATAATAATATATAAAAATTGGGTATAAAAATGTTTATAAAAATTCAAACGAGGTATGTATTCACACCATGTGCAGCACATAATTGATGAGTAATGACCGAAGACATAACCGAACCATGTGTTATTTTTCGAATAAGAAAACTATTAAGATAATATGTATAAAATATAAACAAAATTAATAAAAGATAAATATGGTATTTTTGTTACTTAAACATTTTTTGATATCTACCTGTATTGTGTCCATTTATGAGAACGGGAAAACGCGAGTTGGGTCCCGAGATATTTGATCCCTTAAAAAAAACACGAGTTGGGTCCGCGGTATTATTTTATAATACTCGAATTGGGTCCGCGGTAATATATATATTATTATTATTATTATTATTATTTTAATAAGATATTAAGACGTATAATATGATGTAACCAGCACGTGTCAAGGTTAAAAGTGTTAATCTAATATACAGTAAAAGCCGCTTGTTAGAAACATTTTGGGACCAAGATGAATTGTCTCAATTAACCAATTGTTTCTAATAAGCGATTGAAAAAAAAAAATGAATAATAGGTACGCGAAAAAAATATGTATGTATGTATGTACCTATATTGTATAATTTAAAAAAGTATGCACAATTGTATATATTTTACGATATTATTTAAAATATTTATCATTCGTAATTTGTTTTTTTGCGTCAAGTAACTCCATGACCATATTTTCATACGAGTAATATTACCCCTTTGGCTTTGTCACTTATTTTGAGTGCGTATGTGTGCTCCAAAATAAATCCCAGTCTCGTCCGCATTAAAAATATCAGAGGGTGTGTATTGGGCTAGCAAATCGGTCTAATGAGTTTCAAACCACGATTGGTCGCATGAAAATTGGCTAAAATCTTAGCGTTTAGACATTTTTAGATTTTTAGAAAAAGGAAACACTAATAATCTTTACATACGCACGCTGAAGCTAAACTACAAACGGTACAACCAGTACGTACAGAACGAGCATTCTCACGATAAATTACAGTAAAAATATACGTAACGACAGCAAAGATAAGATTTAAGTACATTGGTTATCGCCGGATAATCGGTATATATGTCAACTGACCTTCTCCCAATTGTTTCAAATAACCGATGTTATGTTTTAATAATCCTATTTATTTTCAATGTTCTAATATACGGCCGATCCGTCCCGAGACATTTTGTTTCAATAACGCGATTGTATCAATTATCCGTGTTTTTAATAAGCGGCTTCTACTGTATATATATAACCTAATCTTGGGTCCGCGGTAATATCATATCTTATCTTAATAAGACGTATAATACAACGTAACCGGACAGTTGTCGCCGGATAATCTATAGTTTAATATAGTAATATAGAAGTGGCCATCTAATAAAATATAAAATAAAATAAGTATAGTGTTTTTTAGTGTTTATATCATATAAAAATTAAATTATGGATTTCATGTCAAGTGAAAAAGGTAAAAAAATTATCATTGAAGACGGATTTAAATTTCGCTTCCACAAAATGTTGCGGAATTATGTACAACGTTGGAAGTGTTATCTTAATATATGTAAGTGTTTTTTAAAATTATCGTCCACTTTAGACATAATAGAGAAATGTAACGTTCATAATTACCAAAAATGTGATGACAAGGTTCTGAATAGACAAAAGTTAAGTAACTCGGTTAAAAGAAAAGCACGAGATGATATTTCTACACGATCTTCAAAGCTCATTAGATCTGAGTTGAAAAACAGCGATATGCCTTTGATAAACACTAACGATTTGAAATTAATAAAAAATAACAACCATCATGCTCATAAAGCACTATATCCAAAACTACCGAAAAGCATGCAAGAAGTACATAATTGTTTAAGCACAATGAACATAACTACCAACAAAGACGAACAATTTTTATTCTGTAATAATTTGGTATATAATATTATAGGTTTTTCAACCGAGACAAATTTGAAAGCTTTATGTGATGTTACTAAAATATACATGGATGGGATGTTTAAAAGCTGTACGAAATACTTCTTATAACTTTTTACTATTTACGGACTTCGAAATGGATTGTATGTACCATTGGTGTTCTTGATATTACCCAACAAAACATTAGAAACTTACACTAAAGCTTTCCAGTATATCGTGAGTTATTGCACGTCTCTTCAACTGAATTTTCAACCTACCGACATTTTTATCGATTTTAAGGTGGCAATTCATACGTCTGTCAAGTGTGTTTGGCCAAATGCTATTATTAGGGGTTGTAGATTTCACTTAACACAAAGTTGGTGGCGAAAAATTCAACAACTTGGGCTATCAAAGGCGTATAAAAGTTCCAATAATGATATAAGTGACTATCTTAAGTTTAGTGTGTTTTTGGTTTACCATTTTTGAAACCAGAGGAGGTGTTTGATTGTTTTATTGATGACTTAATGATTATCAAACCAGTAAATACAACTATAGATACATTTTGCGATTATCTACTAAAAACGTATATAGAGCAAGATGCATTATTTCCACCTAATATTTGGGCCGAGTTTACAACAACCACAAATCGCTTGTGAAAGTTATCATGCAAAATTAAATGCTAGTATCAGTGCAACTCACCCTAACATTTTTGCTTTAATAGAAATGTTATTTGGGATTCAAAGTGAAATCTATGTATCACTTCGGAGCTCAGCCACACAGCCAATCAAAAAAATCGTAGAAAAAGAAAATTTTTTAAGAGAAAAGATGCTTTCTTTTACTAATGGAGAATTGACGCGATTAAATTTTGTAAAAGAAGTGTCATTTAAATTTATTCTCTAGCTTATATTTATTTTAGTACAAATATTTATTACTTATTTTTTATTTTCTAAAATTAATCTAATTATTTAATAATAATTTTAATATTTTAATAATTTTTACATCAGACCTTAACATTACAAAAAATAAAATTTTTGGGAGGGAGACATTCTAGCTAACCTCCACGTGGTGTCTCCTGGGTAACGCAAATAGGCTAGTCGAACTCATGTACTTCATAAAATATACCGGAACCCAACTCGTGTATTCTATAAAATATACCGGGACCCAACTCGTGTATTATATAAAGTATACCGGGACCCAACTCATGCTGTTTTTGAAATCGGGGACCCAACTCGAGTTTGTCCATGAGAACTAATTTTTAATTTTAACACCAATTTTTAGTATCCACGTCCACTATTAGGAGTGTCCACTATTAAGAGGTTATAACTCTTATTATATACATACATTTTTGCGGGGGAATTTAAAAGTGTCCACTATTGAGAGGTGTCTATTAATAGAGATTTCACTATAATACATTTTTTTTTTTTTTTAATGTTAAACCTTTTTATAAATTCATTATATTAGATAAGTCTAAATATTTCAAAAATGCTTTGAATAATTTTATATAAATAATTAAATAAATATATAAATTTATCTTAATATTTAACAAACGGCATGAATCAAGACCGGCATAGAAAACTTTTTTTTCTAAAATCTTTATGACAATTTAGTAAATGTATATTAATATTCTACTTATATTTAGTATTATATTTATGATCTGATACAGGAATTAAATCTTTATATTTAAATAAACCTACTAGCACAGCTGAGTTAAACATATTCTTAAATTTCTTTACATTAAGTTTTTCATAAATTAAAATATAGCAAGTTTACCTAGAAAGCCAAGAAAGTTTAAAAAGAATTTAATAACATGATTTATAGTAACATTCAGCTTATAAATAAAATAATTAAAAGTTCTTCTTCAAATGAATATACCTTAAAAGATAATTGATTGTACTAAAGCTAAATAAATACCTAATCCGGGGACGTGCCCCATGCGCTAGTCATAAAGGGGCGCAAATTTCTAATTATATAATAAATAAAAAAAAAGGTTATTAATATATAAAGTCACCAATTTCATGTTTTGCCTCGGTTAAAAAAAATTTTAAATCCGGCATTGATTATAGCTATCGCATAATGATCTGTTATATAATATCTCAATATAAATGAAGTAATTTTATTTATGTAAACGCTATTGATGAATATATGATCAATAAGTGTTTGAAAATAGCTATAGTGATCCTATAATATAGTTATTAATACATAGTATAAACCCTTTTAAAACCATGACATTTAAATAATATCATATAATGTGTATATGAGTTGGTATATAATATTTATTAAGAAACAATATAGTATAAATGTTGATAAAATTATTTTTCATCAGTAATAATAATATATCTCTGTACCAAAACCAATGTCGTGAGTATGTCGGTTATCTATATTGGTTATACTAATATATTTATTTAAATTTCAGATATGATTTTATGAAAAATATATTATTACACATTTAAATATATAACAATATAATATTATTATTATTTTTATAATTTGACTAGTGACTGCTAATATCTAAATATTAAAAAATGTGTAGGTAATAATTTAAAGCAAATATCATTGAAATTTTAAAATATACGTAACAATAATAAAAAAAGTATGAAAAACATTTTTTACATATTTTGGTATTAAATACGTTTCTTTTTTGTTATGTTGTCAAAACCACGTCTAACTTACTATAAGTATATAGGTTAGGTTAGGGTTATAATTTTGTGGATATAATTATATATATTAATATTATTCTGTAACACGCAGGTTAACTTTGTGACAGATGACTGTCAGGATGGCCGGCTCGAGGTTTACTTGCCTTCCAGGTCGGTGGACTACCCGTTCATGTCAGCGTGTGGACACAATGCCACGGCACTTAAAAACCTACCACTGCTAACTTCCAAGGACGTCGAAGAGGCCGTCGACAAATCGTCGCCGACAGCTAGTGCAGAATCTCAGCGACGACGGCGGCAGCGGCGTTACGTGCATGTCCGATTCGTGGGAAACGCTTACCCGCACAAGGCGCAATTTAAGATCGCTTGGTCCGAACTGAGCCACTTACCACGGAACCCAGACGGGACGCCGCGTGCCGCAAAACGGACGTCCGACGCCGAAGACGATTGCGCGTTTTTATGTCCAGGCGATGAACGACTGTGCTTACCAGCTCGAGCCGTATGCAACGGCGTGATCAACTGTCCCGGTGTCCCCAACGACGAGTCACTGACCACGTGTGACCAGTGGGATCGTGAGTCGATCGGGTCTGTTGACACCGGTGTAGGTAGTGGCCCCAGGACTCTAACAGCCGTCGCGCTGTTTGCCGCCGTCACTGCAGCCATAGTTGTCTTCAGCGTTGTCTTGTTCGCGGCTAGCGCATACTGTCGCCGCCGTCGTTGCCAGCTGCTCCAAAGTGGCCGACCCGCAGCATCCAATCGCTGTGCAATGACCTTAAATGACAGGTCAAATGATCGTATTTATTCTACGGTAACTTTGCAATAATATATTATCGTAACCACATGTTTAATGTAAACATAAATTATTAATCTTAGAGGGAGGCTTAACGGTTAAGAACTTTGAGTGTGAAACTACCCATTTAAAAGAGACATTTTAAAACTGTAAATTAAGTTATTATATTACTGATAAATTGTTCAGTAGAATAGACCCAGACTCACTTAATAGCTTGACGTCGTAATATTTGTGCTAAATTTTAAATGTATAAAACCAGCCCTTGCATCCTATAAAGAATAAAGGGTTTTACTCCGACTGATTAATTTGTAAGATATTGATTTATTTATTAACGTCAGTAGACAGTTATGTATTTTAAGTAATAACATAATTCCTAACATTAGTATAGGCTATAAACTATAGACGATATCGTCAATGTCCTAAGCATTAACAGATGATATAATTTTATATAGCAATGTTGTAAAAATAAAATACTTTATTGATATATTAGAATTGACGCCACACGGATTTTAAAAACAAAATATTAATAATACAACTAGATTAACAGATCTTATGATAAGTTATATATTATATGAGAAATTATAGACAACTAAAAATTAATATAATAGGTGCATGATATTTAAACATAACAATTTTTTACATAGGATATAATAATTTTCTTTTTATAAATATATAAAAGTTGTCCAAGGTTTTTTATAGAGTTGGTGGATGAATAATAATTTAATATTAACTAAAATTTTAGTATTTACTACGATAAAGTTAAAAAAATAAAAAGTAAATTGAACGAGTGAATGGTGGAATATTAAACTATAACTTTTAAAAAATCTTAAGTTCGCCACGCTACTTGCTGTACACGTATTAAAATACCTGTTGAGCGTGACAACTAATGTTAAATGTAAAACCTAAACCATTCAGGACGGCTTTAAGTCTTTGACCAAATAGAAAATATAAACCTAAAATGTATCTAATTGTATAACTGTTTTATTTTTTGTAAAATAATAATCATTTTTTACGAGTCGACATAGCCCTGTACAAACTCATTTTAGAAATGCAAATTTTGCATTCAAATACCTACTCAATTATTGGTATACGAACTCAAGATCGTATTTACATTTTTTGGATCCACTTTGGGCTAACCTACATCCTTAAAGAAATAGATTCCATTTTTTAAAAATATATTTATAATTATACCGATAATAATTTCATACATTATTATTAAAATGTTTTGGAATATCATATAATAAGCTATATATAAATTAATACAACACAATACATATTTTAAATTTTTTCATGATTATTTTTTAGAAAATTTCCCTTTATCTATGAACATTTTTAGATTCTAAGCAAAATAATATATGTGTAATAACGAGAAATGAAGACAAAATAAAATAAAAATAACTAAGATGAAAATAATTTAAAAATATAGATAATAATGTGGCCAGACAAACACAAGGGAAACAAGCCTTGGATGTAAGTCCGGTGTTAATAATATATATATATACTTGTACTCGCGTTATTACCTTCTTCCTGTTCTTCGGAGGGTTCTCGAGGTCTTGTGTTCGAAAATATAATAAAGCACACCGTTACGTATATTTGGTAGTAAAAACGTTTTAAAAAAAAAGTTGTTCTTATATCTGCATTACATACAATTATGAAAAATACATAGACACAATTTCATAAGAAAATAAAAAACTACAAGTATTTTACTGTAAAAAATTTATGAAATTTTTAATTTTTATTGTTAAGACGTGAAAATGAATATAAATATTCAAAAGAATTTTATAATAGTTTATTCTGGAACTTTTAAATCTAAAAAATGTATAAATATAATATTTTCTATAGACATTTTAAATTCGGACAGTTATTAAAACCTGTTTAAAGCAAGTTTGTGCCTTTTTTATCATTACGAGTATGTTCGATTTCCTAATTAATTTCAAATGGGACGCTTTTTTTCAAGGTTTAATTTCGTTATTTCTATATTATATAAAAATATATTTATCGAAAACTTTTAGAAGTATGTAGAATATTCTTTATCAATGTTAAAAACTAACGCAGCAATAGAGAGAATATTTTCTATCAAAAATGAGTTATAGATGGACGAAAAAAATCGCTTTCTTGTACCTACTATTAAAGCACTTAGAATTCTAAAAAAAAAAAAAAGTAGTCTGTACATCTACGTCACTCAGTGTATTTGGTAATATGTTTTTTTGATAATAGTTATTTAAGCTATTTTAGTAATTTATTTTACTTTTAATAATACAATAGGTCGGTATATAATTTTTTCGAAAATACTGCATTTATTATATTATTATAAAATGTGATTATTATAATTTATATTTATACCATATTATCATATTATCATATTATATCAACTTAAATAGCTCAAAATTTAATAATTTTTTCCAACTGCTAGTTTTGTAAAACAGTAAAAATAGATTCTTAGTATACATAAATAATATCTTAATATAAATAATAAATCAATAATGTCATTGCGTATAGTAAAATTTATAATATAACAATATATAGAATAAGTAAGTTTTAAATTCTTTAGAATAATATTTTTAAATTATAACAAAATAATTAATATCGTTATTTATTGTTTAAATAATCAATTTTGTTCAAATTTTCATTTAAAATATCTATAAAAATAATTGACTTAACATATAATATTTTAGATTTTATGGTTTCGGTATAAACTGCTTATTAGGAATCTTGTATTAAATGTACAAAACGTCAATCTCTATCAATTATCCTATCCTCTACAATATGACTGATCGAATCTTTCCCATGTCCAACTTTACAAAAATTTTTCTCTGGGGCAGTCGTGGTTTTTCTAGTGGTCTCTTACCAGTCAGATTCTCTTTAATTATTGTTTTAAACGTTAAACCTATCTTTAGTGCCTTTCTTTCGCCATGTATATACATATAATATATTTTAGTATTTTTTTATTCTAAAAAACCCTTATATATATCCTTTTTGTATTCTTGATCTAATTTTTATTTTCAGGTTACTTTCTTGCGTTAATAGGTGTCTAAAGTACTTGAAATGTCTCACACAATTTAATACGAGTGTATGTTCTTCTATATTCATAAGTTATTCTAGTTGTTATTCTTTATTTTAGCGATTTATCATCATTTATTCCGTTTTTTATCGCTAACATCTAATCCTACTTTTCTTATCATAGTGAAAAGGTGAAAAGTTTCTTACACAGTCGCTTCACCTCTTCTTAGGTATTTTTCAATGCTGCTGTGTACATGTTTCGCATAAGCAAGGAGATTACGCTCAAATTTCCCAATATTACATTCTTAAATACTAAATTGAATAAGTATTAGCAATATCGTATCTTCTTGCCTTAAGCTAATAGTTACTTGAACTTGACTTAAAACTTCTGATGTTATTTTTATCTTAATTTTTGTATTCTTTAAGGTAGCCACGATCAGTTTAATAGGAAAATTGAACTTTTTTATCATGTTAAGCAGTCTTTGCAGATGAACGAAATAGTATAATTTTTTCAAAATATGTCTTAAATCGCAGATTTGGTCTATTATTGAATCTGAAACCATCTTAATATTCTCCTAGTTATCTCCCCACTTCCCCAGCTAACGAATTAATTTTATCTAGTTATAGTGAGACAATATTTTGTAGGTACGTTTAATAAATCTTTACCTCTACATTTATTACAAACTATAAATCATATTTTTTATAAATTGGACATATTACCGCAAAATTCAAGTTTTTCCCATTTATCAATTATTGATTAGTGTATATTCATTGTTGTGTCATCGTCTAGCATCTTCGTGATTTAATTTTGAATTTTGTCCTCTCTTTGTGACTTATGATTCTTTAATTGTATAATTATTTAAATTATCAATATATATTATTATTATAATTAAATATCAATAATATTATAAATAAAATGTTTTCGGCAAAAATTTATTCAACTTAGGTACTGTGATAATTATAATAAATTAAATTAATTTAAAAACAATATTATATAATGTAGGTACAGATTGATAAACTGTCTCTACTCAAATATTTTTATCGTATACTATAATATATATTTGAATTAAAAGTTAATACATTCTTCACACTGGCCCACTCTACATCTACTGTACGGCAAAGCGGTACCTATATTTGCTCATTTATTTCATGATGTACAGAAATTTATCAATCAACATTTTCCTTCCCATTTATATCACAAAGATAACAGACCTAAGACTAACTACTCCTTTATTTGTTATGTAGGTATAATTAAAAAAGTTGGTTCTATCTTTTAATTAAACGGTTAACACTTATGTCGAATAATATTTTGTATAATTTAAATTTTGTTGGTACAAATTCAAAAGAAATTAACTTGCATACATAAAAGTTAATTAATTTCACCCTCTTTAGAGTAGTGAATTTATTACAAAGTTGCAAAATTGTTCTTCTTTTATTATCAATCTGGTCAAAATATTAGTTCTCTGAAACATTTTTCTTTTATTTATAGACTGAAAAATATCATTTTATTCGCGAATCACTAGATTAAGTACATTAATTTACTTCGAATCTTTTTGCCAATGACACTATATTATGCGGTTCCATCGACCATTGATTCTTAATTTATCTAAAATTTCTAATTTTTCTCAATGATTAAAATTTTTTTTCCTTTTTGTAACAACTCTAAATCTAATTTAAATATTTCAAACACTATATCTATAAAAAAAAAACATCCGCATACATACGTATGATTAATATCGGTGTAAAACGAAAAAATATTAACTAACAACTGAATTATTATCTGTCATAGGATAGTATATTAGTATGTAATACGAAAAAAACATCACGAAAATAAATTGCATTGCTAGTTTAATAATATCCATAAAACATATCAATTCTTAATTTATAGGTATATTTTTGACCTAGACGTGGATAAAAAATGCTTAATAGGGATTACATTACATATCAAAAATGCCATTATAAATTATTAATTATAAAAATACTACATATACTTCTTAGGTTCTAATTAATTAATAACCTATTAATATAATATTTTGTATATTATATACAATTATGTGGGTCATCTAAAAATTACAAGTTTTAGTAATCATTTTTTTAATAATATACACTATATATCCACATATAATAACAAATAGAATACCCACTTAAACAATAAATAGAAAAAAGCGATTCTTTTACCACGGACCAACCAATATTTTAGCAATTACGAGGAATTTAAAAATGATAACATACTTTTTTTAATTTTTATACAAATTATATCGTTCCGAAAACAATTGAATTAATAAAAAAAAATTAACAAACTGTTTTAATGGTTTTATATTTGCATACTTATTATTTCTATGTTGTACTAATATATTCATCAATAATATTAGTTACCTATAATAAATACGCCATTATCGAAGTAAATTAACATTGTTTTATAAAAATTGTATATTATAATTAATCCACACATGTGTATTCCACAGGACTACTAAAAACGAATAAAATCGGATAATCCTATGAAAGTTTGCGGATCAACACCGAAATATATAAATATGGCGAATTAATTTATCACATATTATCATTATCAGTTTTTTTTTTTTAACTAAGTACCTATTAACTATGAATGACAACGTATTTATACAATAATAGTGTGTATGCTACTCAATTATAATATTATTACATAATATAAATTAAATAAGCTCATTTGTTAATTGTTTCAATACCTACAAAGTAGATTTTAACTAAATTTATTATATAAAAACCACAAAATATTGTTGCTGTAAAATTATATTAAAAAATATTAAAAAATATAAGATATGAACAAATTGATTTTATATTATTATTCTCTATTTGATACCTATCATCTATAAAATAAGTTACCCAAGCACCTCCAACATCTAATACAAATATCTCCATAACATAATCAAAACAGCATAGTATTATTGTAGGAGTTTACTTTATTTTCTATAATATTAATCGTTCAACAAAATTTTAAATTTGTTCTATGATGACACTGAAGTAATATTAATCTGTCACCACCGTAAGTATAGAGTTATTACATTTTTAAGATATTCGATCTAAACTATTTAAATTCACTTCATTTTTATCATCTATTTCCCGATTTTTTTATTTATCTTTAACGAAGCTAGGGTAACGTTACTCCAGCATCATCAATAGTGGGTTTAAAAATAGTTGGACTGGTATCATAGCCACTTACAAGGCCGTAACTGAAAACAGATTTCGGTTAAAAAACAATATTTATTTTAATAATTACCGTTGTACAAAATTCTATGCCTTAAAGTTTATAACAGAAACGCTGTAATTTGTAATAAAAATATTTTCCAAAATGTAAACTTTTGCTTAAAATATTTAGTATACGAGTATATTGCTTGTCTCAACGACCACACTAGAAAGAAACTATTCAAGCTTGAAAAGAACAAACACCTATGGAAGAGGTAATTTTAATTAGACTATATCATAAGTTATAGAAGTTGATATATTTTTAGAATATAAATATATATTATTATAATAATTGAATACTGATAATATAATAAATGCAACATTTTTGAAAAAAAAATATGTCAACCTACTTTAATACTAAAAGTAAAATAAATATCTTAATAGATATAGGTTAAGTCATTAATATCTAATCGTGTTTATAAAAAAACAACTCTAAGTAATATTTGCTATTGTTGTGTAAGGCACTCATTAAATCAAGAACTGGTGAAAGACATCACCTTACATTTAGAAATATTTATAAGTAAACCTAGTTTATCAAACAATTCAATGAATCGATGCCACTTTATAGTTTCACACAGTCATCAATTGATTTGCCTAGAATTAAATGTGTTTTGTCGCAAAATAAAAAAAACGACAGTGAAGAAGAGCACGATCTAGGCTGTTAATAAAAATAGAGACAAGTAAAGTAAACAAGATCGTTCCTTGAGGCATTCCAGAAGATGCTAAGTATATATTTAATTAAAAATTGAAAATCGAGAATCGAGATTAATTGGTATTTATCAAACAAGAAGGATTTAAACTTACGATAAGAGCGATTCGCCAAAACCAACACTTTCAGAATCTAAATTATAACATCGTGATTTATGGAATCGAAAGCTTCATGGAAATCAGTATAAATTACGTTCACTTGAGAATTCCGACTAAGAGAATTGTAAATAAAATTATTAAAAACTAAATTACATCTAACAATTGACCAACTAGAGCGATATCCCGATATCCGTATTGCTCAATGATAATAATAGAACTAATAGACCGACGAATATCACTTAAAACTGAAGATTTAGTTATTTTAGAAATATGAGAAAAAATAGAGATAGGTCTATAGTTCACGGCAGAAAACATATTAGTTCATCGCTATTCTTAAAAAGTAGTTTAATCAGTTGTTTATAGCTGCAAGCAGCGCCCATAGAAAAATTCTCAAAGGGGGAACAAATTTTTAATCATGTCCATAAAATAGGAAAGGGTTTACAATTTAACATTATACTATTATATTTTATATATCAAACTGGAAGTTTATGAAATAATAATTATTTAACCAATTAACCATAAAAGTAATTTATATTGAATTTTCATTTGATTAATAACATAAATTTATTGAAATATTAATTTACAAATAAAAATTGTAAATTTCTTTTTTTAACACCAAATATATTATTTATTACTATTTTTCTATGTATTCATTCGTTTTATCATCAATTTTTTCCCTATGTACGCTTATCATGCATCCATCAAGTCTATCTCCACTCATTGCAGATTTTGTATAAACAATTTTTCAACATTTTCCAGAGGGGGATAAGTCCCTCTCTTATATTCCTATATGGGTGCCTTAGCTACAGCGGAAATATTTCTTCTTTTAAATTTTTATCAAAAATAAATTTTATTTTGATAATTTGTCAAAACCTTTCGCTTTCTTATTTTTTAAATTATTTATCATCACAATAACATAACTTCATTTTTATCGACAGACTTATAGTAAAAAAATATTAAAATTCTTATTACAAGGATATTGAACTTTCATATTATCTGATTTCATATATTATTTAGATAAATTTGTACCTATAGTAGTGAAGTATTCATTAAATACATTGCATGCTTTTTAAGTTCACTAATTCACTATGGACATCTATTATTTTATTACCATTTTCTAAACATTTTAACCAACTTGCCTTATTACCTGTTATTTCGTTAATTAGTTTCTATGTAACAAAATCCCTTTGGTCGCACTGAGAAACACCACATCAAAGTCCATGTATCCTTTGTGTATGTGTGTGTCATAAGTTAACGCCTTCGGCACGCGTAGGAGTCTGACACCTTTGTAGTTTTTCCGGCTTATCGTGAACGATCATGCGCAAACGCCATTCAACCAGGATTTCTATCATTATAGTGAGATAGACCTCGTATGACCCTAGATTCTTAGATTGCCAAATTTTACGTTGTCCTCGGTTTATTCCCTCTTCACAGTCCTGTCCACTAATATAACGGTACTGCAAACTAGTTGTTATCTTATTCAAATTCACAAAGAAATGTCACTGTAAATCTAATCTTTATAATATGTTCATAAATAGTAAGTACGGTACCTAAGTAAAACGATAATGGTTTTAGATTTTAGTTCCTTTTTTAAATTACTAATATAATAATAATTCTCATTATTATTTACTTACATAATTATATATTTAATATTAAGTATGCCACATACGTATACAAGTTATTTATTCATAATAATAAGCGTTTAAATTTTAGAGTATATATAGTATATTACTTCATTCATCAACATTTTAAACATAGGTACTCAATCACTACTTTCAAATTAAATTCGTATTGGTAAATAATATTCTCTAAACAATTATCTGCTCCGGCAAATGAAATTAAAAATGTTGTCATTCAAAAGTAAAAACATGCAACAACGATACAAAATAGTGAAAATGTATCATTTATTTTTCAAAAATCTGATTTGAAAACATTAACACATTCCGAGATAATGATGAATAATTATTTATTATGCACCTATAAATGTATCTCGTCGACTGCCAGTACCTTCGATTTTAAGCCTCAGCGTGAAAGGAAACCGATTGAGCATTATTACTTCCCCTAAAATTCGACTTTCACTACTTGAAAATACAAATTTTACTAAGTAAAGGTAGGTATTTACCAAAATGTATAGACAAATAAAAAACATCTAATAAAATTATATGATTACAACAAACTTTTTATATTAATAATTATTACTACTCGTCAAATCGCAACATAATTTGACTTAGCAATTTAAATAAGAAATAGAAATAATGGCAATATATAATATATATTTTATTTAATTGTTGAGCTAAATTAGTTGTAACTTGAAGCAGCTATACTAAAAAAAAAAAAAAAAATTAATATATATTTATATAATTCAACAAAAAATAAATAGTTTGGTATTAATTTTATTTTTTATTTTTACTTATAAACAGTTAAACGAACTGAAATCACCAACAATTAAATGTAAACATTAAATTAAATAATTTAAATAATACAGATAATATTTCAACAATCAATAATACATAATATATATAAAAAAAAAAATGCATAATAATTTACTGTAACTATTGAATATGATTATTTCTTAAAAAAACATTGAATTTAAAACTACGACTTGATGAAAAAAAATTTAACAAGGACATTTTATTAAGTATACACATGAGTAAGTTTAAAGTATGAAAAAAAAACGAATCGGCACTAGATTTTTCAAAAATATGGGCTGACAAATTCTTTGCTTTTAAAAAATATGGAAGAACGCAATTACACAATTGAGTTAATAAATAAAGAAAGTCAATATTCCCATTTAATAAATCATGTACAAATATTACATTCATCAATCGCCTTCTAGGAAACAAGAAATCTACCAATTGAACACTAAACAATATCATAAGCCTCTATAGAAATAATTATATTAGTAATAAATGCTACTCTCTTTAAAAATTTGTAAATCATTGATGTAAGTTGAAAAATTTTGTGACATTAATGCGCCAAATTCTATACACGAGAACAATACCCACAAAGTTTTCAAGCAATATCAATTATTTAAATTTTGAGTATCTGTATCTCTATTAATGAAATCAAACATCTTATATTATGATTTATTAAATACTAGCTTATAATTAATTTTAAATAACAAATCATATTCAAAATGAATACTTAAATATTTTATGACATAAATTCTAATTAATTAATTTTGATGATTTTATAAGTAAAAATGATTAGATTTTTTGAGAAAATAAAGGATATTAGGTACCTTGCATTTAATAATATCTAGAGGTAAATAATTAGTTTTAGATACAGCTCTTTTCAGAATTTTAGCTCTTTTACAAAAGTCTAGAATTACATTAAATGGACTTTTACAAAAAAGTTTAGCATTATCAGTGTAAAGTAACATATTTAATATTTTTAAATAATTAGGGAAGGTCACTGATGAAGAGTTAAATCAATAAAGGGTCTAAATGTGAACTTTGAAAGACACCATACAGTAGAGAAAATTCATCTGAAGTATGAAAAGATAATTTAACAATTTAATAGCAGTTCGAGGAATAAGATGATAATCAGGGTTCGAAAATTGTAGCAAATGCATGTTTTTCTTAATTCGTTCTAGAACATCCAAAGTAAGATACAAATATGTTTTACACTTAACTGATGTCATACACGAAATTTAATTTTGCTATTTTTTGCATATTTACGGTTTTTCTTACTATTTTGCTAATTTAGTGTTTTTAGTATTATTTTTGGGTTTATTTTCACATAATATACATAATAATCACATTTTGTCTGTAAATTATAAAATTGTAAATTACGTTTAATTTTTTTTCTAATAAATTTATAATTTTTTCAAGCTAAATGCATATTTTTTTGAGCTTTTTATAGCGCATATTTTGGAGTTTTTTAGTGCATATTTAAGAGCTAAAAGTAAAATTTTTAGTGCTACAAATTTCGATTTTAATTTATGTATAAGAATATGGTAATTTATTTTATCGAAACTTTCTGAGCCCTTATAAGTTATAAGAATCAATAATTTTCCGATATATTTCAAATAATTGTAAAATCTGTACTTACTACTTAGCAATACAGAAGATTAAGAGATTAATATAGTGAGAATAAAATGTTACGGTCGAAAACCATATTGATATGGGACTCATGAAGTTTGACAATAAAGTAACCTGTTTTTTTGTAATTAAAGTTTCGACAATTTTGCGTATAACTAATAATTTTGATATTGGTCGCATAATTATGCGTACTTTTTCCAACCTTCAAGAAAGACTTCGCTAGCACTTTCAACGCCGCTGACGCGTATACGCGTCAACAGTTTATTCCATTGAGCCAGTGGCGCGTTTACGCATCAGTAACATATACTTTTGTATCCGTCATAATTTAATCAATTTTATTTTATTAAACTCTAAAATGTACACAGGCTGTAGACAATAAACTCTAAATTTAAATCTATAATTGGTTTGAGTTTTCGTTATTTTTAGATACGAATAATCGTTGTTTTTGACGGCCTTCCCAAAACAATGTATATAAACAGGGGCGTGCCCAGGGGGGGGTTTTGGGTGTTCAAACCCCCCCCCCCACCACGAAAAATAAAAATAATTTTTAATAAAAGTTTTACATAATATTATAATATATAATATATTATAATGTATATAATATATGTAATATATATATTATATGTGAAACTTGATTAGGTTTGGTTCACATGGACGTGGTGTCTTTAAATCGCTATCGTGAAACAAGCTCATTATTTTGGGTCATGTGAGCGATATAGGTATAGAAAATTCGTATACCTATAAATACGCGTGATTGACTGGAGCGCGTGTACGATAACATATCGATTATTGTATTTTATCTAAGATTTTTCGATATGAAATGTGTCGCGTGTAGCCACGTAAAAAAATTAAACACGGTTTATTTCAACCAAGATAACTATACAGTGAATTACATCAAAAGATTTATAATACGATATTGCCACGTAAGTTTAATATTTTGTACTAATTTTTGTCTAATAAATTAATATATTTTATATAAATTTATTATGATTATTATTTATTAATACAAATTCCATTATAATTTGTAGAAGATGAAAAGGTCAGGAAAAATAACGGATTTGTTCCAATTAAGAACAAATAAATTACCTAAGAAAACTGATACTGACAACATAGGAAATATCAAAAGCGTCGAAAATGAAAATGTAGCTTCTACATCAATAAATTTCAATTCTCAAGACATTGGTGCGTATATAAACTTAAGAGAAAAAAATATAGTTTTAAATGATTTGAAACGTGAACAATTACTTACATCTCCATGGGTCCCCCAGAGTGGATATGTATTTCCTATAGACAATACCAATAAACGAAATTTACGTTTTCAAATGAGTTGGATAAAAAGATTTTCATGGTTGGTGTATTCTGAAATAGAAAATGGTGCTCTATGTAAGTTTTGTGTTCTGTTTTCTAATTCTGATACAGGTAAAGGTAGTCACGAAAAAACAAAAAATTTTGTGACACAGCCATTTAAAAAATGGAAAAATGCGATAGAGAAATTGAATGATCATGAAAATTGCCAATATCATAAATTATCTAAAGAACGCGCAGAATATTTTTTGTCAGTAAATTATCGAAAGCAAAAATCTGTTATTGAAATTTTAAACTCTGAACAAGCCCGTCAGGCTTCGGAAAATAGAAAAAAACTATGTTCAATAGTTGAAACAATTATTCTATGTGGTCGATTAGAAATGTCTTTAAGGGGAAAAAATGATTCAGGACGTATAAATGTAGATAAAGAAGGGGAAACTGGTGGTAAATTTCGTGAACTTCTCAAATTTAGAGTGAAAGCTGGAGATGAAATCTTAAAAAAACATTTAACTGAAGGGAGTTTAAATGCACAATTTACAAGTGCTAAAATACAAAATCAATTAATAAATATTTGTAATGATATTATATCAGAAAAAATAGTTGAGAAAGTTAACCGGGCTAAGATATTTTCAATTATGGCAGATGAAACTACTGACATCTCTCAACAAGAACAAATGTCTCTATGTATCCGTTACATTGATCCTGATTTGACGTACCCTTTAATCCGGGAAGATTTTTTAAAGTTTGTAGTTGTTTCTGATTTAAGTGGCCAAGGTTTAGCGACAACTATAATTGAAAATTTACAATCGGCTGGTATTAACTTAGACTTTTTAATTGGCCAGGGTTATGATGGCGCGGCTTCTATGAGTGGTCATTTGAATGGTGCTCAAGCTGTAATACGTAAAAAATATCCGAAGGCATTATTTGTTCATTGCAGTGCGCATTCTCTTAATCTCGCAATCAATGATGCTTGTAAGATAACTGTTGTCAGAAATACTATGGGTAGTGTATCGTCAGTTTGTAATTTTTTTCGAGGATTAGCTCAACGCACTGACGTTTTAAAAAAGCATGTGATTAATCATTTTCCAAGTAGTAGACATACAGTACTTTTATCGATGTGTGAAACGAGATGGATATTAAGACACGATGCTATTAATCGCTTTAAAGAAATGTACATTCCAATAATTCATGCGTTAGAAGATCTCCAAAAATCAATTAATACCGAAACTTCCAATAAAGCTTATCAACTCCTTTCAGTAATATTAAATGGCCAATTTTTTATTACTTTAAGCATAATAGAAAAAGTATTTGCTTATACATTACCACTATGTTATAACTTACAAACTGTGAATTCCGATTTAACTGCTGCATGTGATCATGTTCAAAATATAATTGATGCTCTTAGTAACCTTCGTGAAAACAGTGATTCCAATTTTAAATTAATATATGATAAATGTAATCAAATACTTATTGATGTAGGTAGTGAAGTGACAATTCCTCGCTGTGTAAAAAAACAAACAAACCGGGATAATACTCCTTCACAATCGCCTGAAGAGTATTACAGACGCACAATATTTAATTCATTTTTAGACCATACCATTGTTCATTTATCAGACCGTTTTATAAAACATAAACAAATAATAACCGACTTAGAAAAATTAATTCCAAGTCGTATTAATGTAAATTCACTAGATCTATCAAAAGATACTATAATCTTTTATGAAAGTTTATTGCCAGATTCTACAGTATTTAATGAAGAATTCTCCACATGGAAATTAAAATGGTTAAAAGATAACATTGAAAAAAAACCTTCAAATGCAGTAGAGTCTTTATTAGAATGTGATGAAAGATTTTTCCCAAATATAAGAAAACTGTTGGAAATATTAGCAACTTTACCCGTGTCTACGGCAACTGCAGAAAGAACCTTTTCTACTTTACGGCGTCTCAAAACATATCTGCGCAACACAACTGGCGAAGATCGGTTAACTGGGTTAGCTCTTCTTTCAATTCAAAAAGAAATTAACGTTGATCCTAATGAAGTGGTGAGAAGGTTCGCTTTAATTCCTCGAAGACAAGGATTTTTTTTTATATTATCTAATAACTAATTATATATATATATATCGAAAAATTATTTAAAATGTATTTTAATGTATTATAAATTATTATGTATTATTATTATTATTTTTTTTAATATTACTATTGAATAATATGACTCGATCTGACATATGTATGTTGTTTGAATATTGTATATATGGCCAATTAATATCTATTATCTAGTAAAATAAATACACTTATACTCTTAAAATAGGTACGTGTTAGTAAAAATATTGAACCCCCCCCGAAAAAAATTTCTAGGCACGCCCCTGTATATAAACGTATACAGAATATATTTTTGACATATTATAAATTTGTCTACTGATATTTAATCATTTACAAATCATAACTATCATAACATACTGTATTATGCAATATTTTTCTATTTATTACATGGTTAATTTATGTTAGGGAATTTTATATTCATATCTTATAAGTTTAGATTTATGATATATAACATGTGTGTGTACTGTCTTAGTATTTTATACATAAAAGGTAATAATAAAGTTGTTAAAAATTAATATTAAAATTTTATTCAACTTTATGAATTAATAGAGTTATGCTTCTAATGTCATTGACGCGTAAACGTGTCACGGGATAAACAACGCGAAGTCGCGGTATAACTGCAGAAATCACGGGCGGCGTTGAAAGTGCTAGACAGCGATAAAATAAATAAGTAATATAGTGATTTTTAACATGATTTTAAAAATGGGGGTGAGATATCGTTCGGCTCTACGTCCAATTTATCATTACGTAAATAACTAAGAATATCAGCTATTTCATATTCTGAAATGTACCAAGTATTTAGATTAAGATTTATATCATGTAAAAATGGAAATTCCTTTAAATTTATTTAAATATGATTATCATTGTAAACTGGAGAAAAATAAATTGTAAATAAACTGACGGGTTTTTTGAGCAAGTGGTTTAAACAACATGTAAATAGTTAAATAAATAATAAACAGGTAGGTATTTACCTAGCATATTCCAACCCTGGTTATTAGTGGCATCGTAATAAACTAATACAGTAGACGCTGCTTATAAGACTCACGGATATAAGGTTCAGTCGCTTATTAGACTCAAAATCGTCTGGAACGGTCCGGACGTATCCAAATACATTAAAAAAAATCGGTTTTAAGACTCAACACTTCGGTTATAAGACTCAAATTTCGTAAAATAAATAGTAGAAAATAAACTTTTTTGGTTATAATTTAGAAATAAATTGGTTTTGAAAAATTAAATAATATTCGTGTTAATTATTTCTAGTTTCTGTTGGTACCTTATAACTAGGGCTCAGAAGTTGATGACCTTCAAAACAATAAAAAATGACCATAAAATCGACCATAAAAATGGCAAAAAATGTCCTAAAAAAATTACAAATATTAGTTTTATATTAATAAAAATACATTTTTTTAAAATATTTTACTCTATGTTACTATAAAATTCAAAATATGACATAAAAATGACAAAAATGTCCTTAAAATAGGAAAATTAAAAATATTTGTTTTATAAATGTCTGTGGTTTAAGTTATCGGCATAATGGTCAACAAGAAACGATAAAAAATGAACTAGTGTGAAATCAGTAAAAATAACTAGAATTTAGAAATGTGGGAAAATGACCTAAAAATCTCAAAAAATGACTTAAAAAGTAATAAACACCAAAAAATGCAAAATAAAAATTAGTTATTTAGATTCACATGCTTACGAAACAGATTTGTGGCCAGGAGAGCATCATCTAAAAAGTTCCAAAAAAAAAAAAAATGCAAAATGCATCAACTTCCGAACCCTACTTATAACGTATAATAATTTTTATCGCAGATAAAAGTTCACATTTATCGCAACGATAATTATAACGATTATAATTTTAGTTTTTTTTTATCGGGATTATTAAATTTATTCAATAATAAAGTATGTAATATGAAATATGTGTTAATATATTAAAATCAAAGCAAAATATGTAGTAAAATAAAATTTATAAATACGTAATTAATTTTTTTTTTCCACTTCGCCTATAAGATTCATTCGGTTATAAGACTCACTTTGTGCTGGTCCCAAAGTGAGTTTTATAAGCGGCGTCTACTGTATTGAACAATCTGCTGAATTTATTTCTTATGATATTTTATGATTTAATACTATAATAAAAATAAATACATAAAATACTGTAGTCGATATTTAACTATTTAATCCATACTTATGTAGGTACTCAGAAATAAATATATATTATTTTAAAATATGTACGTTTGACTTGTTTAAGTACAAGGATTGGAACCAAAAAATGTAAAATCAAAACTTTGATTGAATCCCATATTTCACAATGCTCAATACTAGAACTATTTTAACGAACAATAATTTTTGTATTTTTTTTTTACATTTTTTGAAATCTAAAAATATTTTGTTTGATATATCTATAGTATCTTTAACTCTACTGTTACTGATTGCATTCTTTATTTACAATATTACAAGAAGGATGAAACAGCAATGATTTATTTTTCTTTCAAGTTATTACGAAATACCGATGAATATTAATATTTAACTACTTATTTATACTCTGTTTCACACACATACACCGCACTCGCACATAAGCCTCTTCAGACGCTTCAGGCATAGTGGCTAATTGCAGTTACTTCTGTGTTCTGTATTTTTTTATTTTCATTATGAACCGATTTTCTACATCTATTGTCACAAAATATTTTTATTTTACAAGAAGTTGAGGAAATAAAATATTCTTCTCGCAATACATGAACAAGTAAAATTAAATCAAGTATGATATTATGTTCCGCGTTCTGCAATTAAATATTTTATTCAAATACTTTTAACTATACACAATTTATCTAAAACAGGAAACGAGGTTATGAATGTTTATATCTTATAATGATATGGATTAATTAATTAATTTAATATTCAGTTCTTTATCACTCTATTGTGATTTAAAATCAATACAAAATGGTATATTTATACCAAAAGTTATTACCATTTATTTTACTAGATAACATTTTGAAAACAAAAACATCTCAAGAATACTAAGATAAAAGAACAAAACTTGACTTCCCAGAATGTTCAATTATTCATACTGAACACACATATATATATACACACACACATAAATTAAAAGTCTATAGTGTGAACCAAAATATATTTTAATGAATAACACTTTATAGCTTTAATCATACAAGTTTATCGTAGGTAATTTGGTGCATTAAGTCAATAACATTAGTGATTGTTTAAAAGAATACTTTTGTAGTAAGTACATATCATTAAATTATTTAAATTATTAACGACTACCATAATAATATAACATAACATACAATACTGAAGCTCAGTTAACTAAATACATTTTCGGTAGTCAATTTAAATATTCACTATCTTATAAATACTTTCACATATAATGATATAAGTACATAGTTTAATTTGGTTTGGTATGCAAAAATTTTGTGAATTCAATAAACAAAGTCTATAGTAGATATTAAAATCTTTATATAGTAAAACTGTTAAAGAAATTGAAAACAAATAATGGTTTTTAAAATCAATAATATTTAAGTTTAAAAAAAGTACTTATATTTAAAGCTGTAAATCAAATACTATGATACAATTAAATACTAATAACATTTTTATTAAATAATAAATTAACAATTTTTAATACAATGTATGTATAAGTTTGGATCACACATAAAGTGTTGGCATATTATATTTTAACGATACAGAGAATTTGATTTATAACATCTACCACATACTTGGATATTATGTTGATATTTAAATAATTTATGCTTTATTTACTAATTTTAAACTGCGAATGATCGATCAAGAAGTGCTTTTAATTCTTTTAAATGTTGCATTTTACTTCCAGTTGCAGATGATGCCGCTGTTGGTCGTCCAGCATAACTATAAAAACAAACATAATAATTTTCTTCAATTATATGTAATTAATAAACATATTTTTCAAAATATTTATAAGTATTTTAATTCACCTGTTTAAATAAACAAAAATTAAACAACTTCATGGCAAATTAGAAAATCATTAAATTTGTGGTAATTTGTCTATATTCTAAGTTAAAACACTCTTAAACAATACTCATACTCATTATCAAAATTTAATTTATATAATATATTTTTACATATTATTCAATTTTAAGTACAAGATACTACACTAAATTTTATTAAATTTTAAAATTTTTGTACATATGAATTGTTTTATTAAAATGGTTCAATATTTTAATATTCTGAGAAAAACGATAAAATATATTAAAATATGTGTGCTTTATTTTTACAATTAATAGAAGACAAATTAAATCAATTTTAAACTTTTTTTAGTAGAACTGTGAATAAAGTTGAAACTTTGGGGAGATAAAAATCAAAAAGTTCCAGTTCTTTTCAAAATAATCGAGGAAACTGGGTTTTTACGCTAAACATGTTTTTGACAAAATTAATTTTATTATTATAATATAATTTAAATACAAATAACCGTAGTACTTCAATTTTTTATTAAATGTTTATATTAATATTTTTCATATATAATACCATGTAGTTATAAGTATTTAAAATTTAGACGAGCTGAATAGTAGACAAACATTTTGCGGAATAACTCTTCGTATCATTTCACTCCACTAACTTAAATTTAAAATAATTGTAACTCATAAATTACTCATCCAAATTTTGATTTTTGCAAATCTGCTTAAGAACATGGAATTAAAAATGTAAATTGTCACTAAGAAAAAAATATATACATATAAAATTTTGTTTTATTTCGAGTAAAAAATAATATTTATCAAAACATTAATATATTTTGAAATAATGAGTGTTTAATGATAAAATAAACTCTTATTTTGTTTTGTATGTATGTGTTGTTTTCAAAGTAACATAATATATGCATCCTACAAAAAACATATGTATCAAATAAACCCGGTAAAGTATTCAATATTAAATTTGACTTCAATAAAAAGAAAGTGACTCAATGTTTTTGATGTTCATTCATTTCTTTAGATTGCTCTTGGTGAGTTTCTCAACATTGACACTACCTCAACTCACTACTCATGAAACATCAAGATAGAT